GGGAGGAGACGAGCCAGTCAGGGTGTGATATAGCAGCGATAAAAAATACAACTTTCCTCTAGTTCCTGAATACCTCTTTACCCCCTCACCCCACCCCACTATCATGATCCGAATTCTACCTTGCAAGTCTGGCTAGACCAGAGGATGTACACTGGTACAGATAGGAACTGGAAGCATAGGGAATCCAGGGAGAATGATCCCTTCAGGACCAGTACTGTGAGTGGCAATACCAGGAGGGTAGAGGGAGGGTGGGTTGGAAAGGGGGTACAGATTACAAGGATCTACATGTGACCTCCTCCTTGGGGGGTGGACAACAGAAAAATTGGGTGAAGGGAGACATCGGACAAGGAAGATATAACAAAATAGTAATTTATAAATTATCAAGGGTTCATGAGGGGGGAGCGGGGAGGAAGGGGAAAAAATGAGGAGCTGATGCCAGGGGCTTAAGTGGAGAGCAAATGTTTCGAGAATGATGAGGGCAATGAATGTACAAATGTGCTTTACACAATTGATGTAAGAATGGATTATGAAGAGTTGTATGAGCCCCTAATAAAATGATTAAAAAAGAATGTGATGATTGATTTCTGACCTTAGTAGAGGATATGAATCAGACCATTCTCTTTAATGGTTATCTTAGTTACTATTACTTATAATGGATGTATGGAATTATGTAATACAGCTGAGAGGAGAAAGAAAACTCTTTTTGGAGTGGTCTGGGGGAAAAGCCTGGCTAAGATTAGTAAGAGGCCAATGCCTACTGGTTACATATTGCCAGAGGCTCCAGGTCATATATGCATAAATAAGATAAAGTACAGGGGTGGTGAATAGATTTTTACAAGTGGGTAAAATTTGATTGAACCATGTAACGGCCACCAAACTACCTATCCTTTAATGGGTCTGGTAAGTAGGGAAAGATACTGATAGGTCTCATTACTGGCAAGAGCCAGGAGTGGAGTATGTCATCTGACTTACCCATCCAACCTTCAGACTTTACACTGAACTGCACCCACCACCCGGTAAAACATTTCCTTTACTTTCTGTGAGACACTGCAGAGATAGCAGAACACAGAAAGGTGAGGGAATATACTCAAGGGAGGAGTGGGGGTGAAATCAAACAGATTCTCATCTTGCAAAAGTTAGACTCTTGCAACATTTTCATTCTCCAACTTCCTGGGCTAGTTTGGTATTAATTCTTAAAAAAAGAAAGTATTATCACAAAAGTATTCCTTCCAATCAAAGTGTGGAAACAAAACAAGGAAAATAGGTTACAGGGGGATATAACAACAGGCCCAGGGATTATGCACTGCCAGTTCCCACAACTATTGAGTTCCTATGCAGTTTCTGCTACCTAGGCCCTCCTCTCTGCAGAGCACCCAAAACCTGTCCCACGTTTAAACCCTTCTGTTAACCTTCTCCCTGAATCAAAATATCTTCATCATGCATCTTATTCTTCAAGGAGCTACTGTCAGAAAATTGTCATTTAGAAAGCATCTAATCATGACAGTATATTAATTGCATTCAAGGCTTAATGGATTACCCTTCCCAGGGACACCTGCATTTTAATAGAGGAGTATCTTTTTTTTTTTTTTTAATAGAGGAATATCTTAAGGTACAGGAAGGACTTTGTCAAATGCTGGCTTTTCAACCAAGTAACTAGCTGGAAGTAGGACAGAGGAGTGAGAGGTAGGAGTGAGATAGGATTCAAGCACATCTTGGGAACCCTAGTTATACCACTCATTTTCTCTTGTCTTCTCCAGCTCTCCAAATGCAGGCCCCCACCCCTTTCTCCCCAAGTTCTATCCTCAGTTACAAGAACACCCTCAAATCGCCCTCTCAATCACCCTCCCTGTGGATCTCTGCCACAGGCCTGATGCGTAGGTGCTGGTCCCCAGGGAGCCAGTGTGGTCAGCCTCAAACAGCCTCTCCTCCTCCCCAGGTTTGCTGTATCTGTGAATGGCACTGCAGAAGACTCAAAGGTCACAGCACGTGAGACGTGTTTGACCCTCATCAAGTCTCATTGTTCTGCACCCAGAGCAGTTCTTGTATTTCCACTCCATCCCCCCTAGACTAACCCACTGAAGAACCCCATTACTCCCAGGTCCACTGCCTCCAATCTCATTACCATGGTCCCTCCTATACCTGTAATCCAGCTTACACTGTGCAGACAGAGGTTCTCCACTAAACCATACCAAAACCCACTGCCCTCGGGCTGCTATCAGTTCATAGTGACCCTGTAGAAGAGGGAGAACTAGCCCCATTGGGTTTCTAATGCTGTCGTCTTTATGGAAGCAGACTGCCACATCTCTCTCCTGAAGAGCTGCTGGTGGGTTTGAACTAGCAACCTTTCCATGAGCAGCTGAGTGCTTTAACCACTGTGCCAACAGGGTTCCCCAGCTCGCCAATACTGTGCATGAAATGCAATCAAAATTCCTCCACCTAATTCTCAAGATTCTAACTCCAACTTACCTTTCTTAAACTTTTATTTTTACTTCCATTAACCAGGGGACAAGAAAGCTAGACATGAGACTCCTCCCCACAAATACAATAATAGTCTAGGCTGCTGCAGCCCAGCTGCCCAGAGTTGTATTCATTTAACTCAGCCCTTGGAGCACTGAGGAAGCAAACTCAATCTAGTCTGATCCTTTTTGTAACTAGCCTGAGCTATGACAGCACTGAGGGGCCGTTTCACTGTTTCTTTTCCTTCTTTTATGACCACCCAGATCAGTGTTTTGATCTGATGGGAAAGGGAACTGCAGGGTCCAACTTACCTTTCCAGCTGCACCTCCAACTGCTCTTCCAACAAGGAGCCCTCGGGCCCAGTGTTCAAGAGCTCAGCAGCCAACCCAAGGTCATGTGATCTGATAGGGTCACTAGGAGTTGGAACCAATGATGAAATATTTACAAATGAAATTATGTCATGTCTTGGATTTGACTTAAGACAATCCAGGTGGAAGGAGTAGGAGTTGGCAGAATATAAATGAACTAAGACCTGCTAAGAGTTGATCATTTTTATGCTGGCTGACAAATATATTGGAGCTCATTAGATTATTCTCTCCACTTTTATATACACTTGACAATATCCATACGTAAAAAATAAAATTAAATTTACCCCTATCAAGAGAATTCAAACAAAACAGAAGTATTTCTTATACTAAAAAAGTGAATATTCCCATTCTCTCCAATCCCAACAATTTCTCTCTTCAGAGGGAACCCTACCAAGTTTGATGGATTATCTTTCTTCTTTTTTAAAAATCACTTTATTGGAGGCTCATACAGCTTTTATCACAATACAGCCATCCATCCATTATGTCAGGCACATTTCTACACTTGTTGGCATCATCATTTTCAAAACATGTTCTTTCTACTTTAGCCCTTGGTATCAGCTCCTGACTTTTCCCCCTCTCCGTCCCCCACCCTCCCTCCCTCAGGAACCCTTGATAATTTATAAATCGTTGGGGACAACACTGGAGACACATTGCAGGAATGGTGCCCAATTGTTTGTTGTTGTTGTTCTGTTTTCTTTTATTTTGTTGTTCTGCCTTGTTTTGTGCATATTATTATCTCTGCAGGTTTATCTAGATGAGATAGGCTAGATAAACAATCTGGAGGAGAAGACAATGGGATCGATGGTTCCAGGGGGACATGGGAGAGGGGGAGGCCAGGGGACAGGAAGTGGGTGTTAACCCCAGGGACAAGGGAACAACAAGTGATCCAAAATCAACGGCAAGGAGAGTGTAGGAGGCCTGGTAAGGCTTGATCAAGGGCAATGTACCGAAGGAATTACTAAAACCCAAATTAAAGCTGAACATGATAGTGGGAAAAGAGAAAGTACAGGGAAACAGAGGAAGGAACTAGGAGGCAAAGGGCATTTATAGAGGTCTAAATACAGGCATGTACATGTGTAAATATATTTACATATGACGATGGGGGAAATAGATCTATGTGCATATATGTATAGGTTTAGTATTAAGGTAGTATTAAGATGGACATTGGGCCTCTACTCAAATACTCCCTCAATGCAAGAACACTTTGGTCTATTAAACTGGCATTCCATGATGATCACCTTCCTGACACTATCGCTGAAGACAAAGTGGGTGCATAAGCAAATGTGAAGAAAGCTGTTGGAGCCTGGCTATCAAAAGATATAGCGTCTGAGGTCTTAAAGGCTGAAACAAGCGGCCATCTAGCTCAGAAGCAACAAAGCCCACATGGAAGAAGCACGCCAGCCTGTGTGATCACAAGGTGTCAATAGGATCAGGTATCAGGCAAAGAACAAAAAGTCGGGGAGTGCGGAGTGGAGACCCAAAGCCCACCTGTAGGCAACTGGACATCCTCTTACAGAAGGGTGGGGGGAGGATTTGAGCCAGTCAGGGTACAGTATGGCAATGATGAAACATACAACTTTCCTCTAGTTCTTTAATGCTTCCTCCCCCCCACTATCATGATCCTAATTCTACCTTAAAAATCCAGCTAGACCAGAGGATGTACACTAGTACAGATAGAGCTGGAAACACAGCGAATCCAGGACACATAAACCCCTCAGGGCCAATAATGAGAGTAGTGATACCGGGAGGGGAAAGGGAAGGTAGGGGAGAAAGGGGGAACAGATCACAATGATCTACATATACCCCCTCCCTGGGGGACGAACAACAGAAAAGTGGGTGAAGGGAGACATCGGTCAGTGCAAGACATGAAAAAATAGCAATAATTTATAAATTATTAAGGGTTCATGAGGGAGGACGGGTGGGGGAGGGAGGGAAAAAAAATGAGGCGCTGATACCATAGGCTCAAGTAGAAAGAAAATGTTTTGAGAATGATGACGGCAACAAATGTACAAATGTGCTTGACACGATGTATGTATGTATTGTGATAAGAGTTGTACGAGCCCCCAATAAAATGATTTTTTAAAGAAATATAGATGATTTATAAATTATTATTTTTTTCATGTCTTACACTGACCAAAGTCTCCCTTCACCCACTTCTCTGTTGTCTGTCCCCCAGGGAGGGGGTTATATTAGATCACTGTGATTGGTGTCCCCTATCTCCCCCCACCTTGATGGATTATCTTTCAACACCTCTGTTTATCCATTTGCTAACATACTTAAAAACACAAACACACCCTTCTATTTACTTTTGCATATTTGCATTTACTTAAATGGATTTTCACTACATACAGTGCTTGGCAACTTGCTTTCTTACATAATTGTCATCTTCCTACTGTTGAGTGCCATGGCCAAATCTGAAAAGTAGCACGATTCCCTCCCTCTACTGAAGAAAAGACAATGGCTTCCTGCTTGTACCATTTCCTAGTTGTTGGCTTTGATTCTCTCTCTCTTAAGTGGGCACAAATTGCTGGGCTTATTTACTCTCATACAATTACTAAACTAATGCAAATTCAAAATTAAATACAAAACCAATAAATTCATATTAATAACAAATTTTATGTCAACAGATGCTGTACTCAAACTGAAGTACCATTTACAATGGGGGTTATGTAATGTTTCAAGTTTAATACAGTAAAACCTATGAAAGCCAGAACCTACAAAGCGCAGAAACCTGTGGAGAAAAAGAACCTCAAATATTTTTCACCAAAAGAGAGATGTAATAATAGAGAAGCTAAAGCAAAAGGAAGAATTGATTAAATAAAAGACCTTAACACAAAATATCAAAGAGCAGCTCAAGAAAACAAAGTATTATAATAAAACATACAAAGAATTGGAGTTAGAAGGCCATTTCTCAAGCTGAAAAAAAAATAGAGAATAAAAACCAAGCCTCAAATTTCAATCTTGAAGGATTCTATGGGCAAAATAAAATACTGACCAATGCAGGGAACTTTACAGAGTCATTGTACCAATAAGAATTGATCTACTATTCATCTATTTCAGGAGGTAGCATATGATCAAGAACCAATGAAGAAAGATGTTCAAGCTGCAGTGAAGGTGTTGAAAAACAAGGGTTCACAAATTGATGGAATACCAATTGGGCCGCAGCACTGGAAGATGCTCATTTTGTTTATGCCAAGAAATTGGGAAGACAGCTATCTGGCCAATGGACTGGAAGAGATCCATATCTGTGTCCATTCAGAGAAAGGGCATCCAAAGGAATATGAAAATTATCTAACAGTGTTATTAATATCACACACAAGTTAAAATTGCTGAAGATATTTCAAAAACAGGGAGCTGCCAGAAATTTGAGTAGGGTTCAGAAGATGATATGGAATGAGAGATATTTTGCTAATGTGAGATGATTTGTTCTGAAGCAAGAATGCCAGAAAGATATGTACCTGTGTTTTATTAACTACAGCAAAATCAATAATGTGATAGTTCATGTGGTCAAAACAAACTATGGATCACATAAACAATGGGAATTTCAAAACACTTGGTTGTGCTCATGCAAAACCAAAGAGGAACAGAATAGGATAGGGTATAGTTTAAAATCAGGAGAATCCTTACCATATGTGGTAGTTACATAATTTCATGTCAATTTGAAGATATATAAAAGTGCAAAGATGGTATTCAACCTATCCATCAGATCACAGAGCCTGATGGTGCCTCCTTGTGGGCATGGCCTTCTCATAAGGAGTCCTGGGAACCTCCCCCCTTCTCTCTCGGACTTCACCTTCCTGCTGGCTGACTCTGATTGCTGCCAGAGCCCTGTGATGTGTCGAGTGCCACTGGATCCACATGGCTCTGCACCCAGAGTGATATAGAACCTGTGATATTCCTGCATTCTACATCATGGTTTGTGACTGTGAGTCTGAAGAGGGACTTATGGGACTAGTACTGGACTAATGGACTTGAGTTGGCCTGGGCCAGGATGCTTTGATATATAATTACGTCTTGATATAAAGCTCTTTCTTACACATATATGAGTGTCTCTGGATTTGTTTCTCTAGTCAATCCAGCCTAACACACCATACTTAGTCTGCATGCTGAGCCAATAATCTAAGAAGCTTGACTACATGAGAAAAATGTAGCTTCATTAATATAACCTATAATATGCAGATGACACAACTTTACTTGCTGAAAGTGAAGATTTGAAGTACTTACAGATGAAGATCAAAGAGTACAGTGGATTACACCTCAACATATAGAAAGCAAAATTCCTCACAAACGGACCACTGAACATATGATACCCAGAAAAAGAGACTGAAACTTGTCAAGGATTCTGGTTGGCTTGGATCCACAATCAACACCCATGGAAGCAGCAGTCCAGAAATCAATGCACTGTATTGTGCAAATGTGCTGCAAAAGACCTCTCAAAGTGTTAACAAGCAAAGCTATCACTTCATAGACACTAAGGAGTACCTGACCCAAGTCACGTTATTTTCAAAGACCTCGTGTGCATAGGAAAGCTGGACAATGAATACAAGATACTGGAGGAGAACTGATGTCTTTTGAATTAAGGTGTTGGTAAAGAGTACTGACGACAGACACCATGGCCTGCCAAAAGAATAAACGAACATGTTTAGGAACCCATACAGTTGGAATGCTCCTTAGAATAGAGAATGATAAGATTTCAGCTCGTCTTTTTGCCATGTTACCAGGAGGAATCAGTCCCTGGAGAAGGACACCATGCTTGATAAAGGGTCATCAAAAAAGAGGAAGACCCTCAACAGTGGCTGTAATAATGAGCGATTGTTTATGTGAAAAGTGACCCCCACTGATCCTGAAATGGAGGATGTAGGTGGGATTCAGTTCCAGATCTGAAAGGTCTAAGGACTACAGTCTCCAGAATCTTTTAATACTTTTATTTTCTC